CCCCAAACCCCCAAAACCCCAAAACCCCAAAACCCCAAGATGATGAGATCTAATTGAATTGCGCACGAAATCATTCTAAGTTTGCAAGAATTATTTCCCCAAACTTGCAGAGGATTATAACAAAGACCTAGAGACTTCTCCAAGACTGAAATACCGTAAGAGATGATTTATTTGAGCTCTAATGAATTGTAACGACTTAAATAAGGGAAACAAACACTTTTATGAAGAAACTTCTAGAACTTTATTTTTTTTACTTATTTGTAAAAGCTGCCTGACCTATCAGCCCATGGGATAAAAACTAAGCTATTTAAATTAAATACTTAAGCATGCTAAAAATTTCTGTGCAGATATATAAACCAATAAATAACCTAAATGAAGCTTGGTTATTTTCTCCCTTAAATGCTAAAACAGCAGGAACGATTCCATTGCTGTTTGGTGGATATAATCGAATTCCAGGTGTGATTGACGCTCTGATAAGTCTCTCCGAGCCTGAGCAAGGGAGTTCACCAAGTATTGATTCTCGAATTAATCGAATCAGAAAATTCCAATTTACTTACATTCTTGGTGAATACACTCAGCAAATATTCATAAGAGAAGCCCTCACTATTTAATAGAGCTTTAAAGCATTATTAGACTAGCTAAAACCATGGAGAGAAGTCCATCTTAGTGGCTGAGGAGCAGACCTTGTCAGGAACCTAGCATGGCTTCATTCATCATATTAATGATGCCTATTATAACTCCGCAAACTATTATAAATATTCATGAAATTTGTTTCTTTGTTAAAGAGGCAAATACAAAGGAGTCCTTAGTGCTTTTGCTTTGATTGCTGAACTTAAAAGTTAGATATCAAAAAGTCTAAAAGACATATTGCCATTTTTAACTTATTTATTAATTTTGTTAAAACCTGAATTATCAGGTTAGACACTTTGTTGTCTGAAGTGCTCAAGTCTTCATATTTTTGAAAATTATGTAGGAGAGCAAGAGGAATATCTCTGAAAAACCTTCTCATGTTAAGCCAAGAACAAAGTTTCCACCAAAGTACAGATTGATGAATCTGCCAATAATTATTAATTTTTTGTTAAATATTGCCATTATGAAACTCTGGCAAACTGGGATTAGAAATTGAAGGCTCTAAGGCAGCCTCAGGATAGTTCTAATAATGATTGGGACCTCTCATAGCTTCTACAGGCTGTTTGAAATTTTTGGCCTTGTAATACCATTATACATTCCATCAGAGCCTGGACCAAAACACCTCAGAGAGTTCATTAAAGTTATTAATTGGCAGTCTTCTTCAGAGACCAAATTTACAAGTTAAGAGCTTCAATTTGGATTGAGAATTTTGATAAAATTAATTTTACTATAGACTCGAGAGGCTTCCTCAAATTTTATTCTTAATTTCGGATTCTTTAGCTTGAAGTCTTGCTCCACCGTGACCTCTTCCATTATGATCAACTCATAGATAAGAATCTGATAAAATTAACTTAAATATTTGCTAATTATTCCGGATCTATAAATGTAACTTTCATTCATGGAGAAGCTTATCATCCTGCTTGGTTCTTCACTAGAGCATGAGAACTTGTTGTTTTTATACCTTGGACAATGAATTGCTATGATATAAATTCCAGATTTTGAGGCTTCATTTCACCGAGATTTGATAGTGATCTCCTTCGATTTCACCGACTTTAGAAACGAAGCTACAGGATGAGTTTAAGCTCTAGCTGCTTCAAGTAAGCAGCTAGATGTGGCTATGGCATTGAACACATTATACGCACTAGATCCTCTAAAAGCAAGAACAGAGTGTCTCTTCAAAATTTCTAACTAAAGTTTTGAGGTCAATTACGAGAGACTGAAATTGCTATCATGCCTGAGGATCTATGCCTAATCTCCCTGTTTAAGCCTTGATACTTTCGCATTGTCTTAAAGAAACAAAATAGGCTAATTGAGACTTACAACAAGCTTGGAGGATTAGTAAGAAGAAGTTGATTTAAACCTCATGAGTATTAAGATCAAAGAAACTTTATAACAAATTCATGGTAAACTCATATGACAATATGCCTAAAACCCGAAGAAAATTAGACTAGTAACGTTAAAATTACTCAAATCAATTTCTCGGACCTAATTACTCTGCTTCTATTAAGAATTTCACCTTAAGTATTGGACTTCTGTGCAACATTTTTAAAAGAGAACCTGCATATAGCTATAACAGTTTTGTTACCTTAAAATTTTAGAATTTTAAAAATATTGACCTATAAACTTGCTATATGTTAGCTTTAAAACCTCTAAAATTATAGAAAGCATTAAGTTTGGACCAAGTTCTTCCCGCTCATTGTCAAATTTTACTACGAGGCTTAGAGGGCTTATTTTGTGTCTGTAAAAATACTTAAAATTTCTAGAACCTATACAAGGAGAGGGGTGCGGATCTTCAGATATATTTAGCAATTTCATAGTATTGCCATTCCAATTTGAATTAGCAGAGAATTTTTGTGACGACCAAATATTCTAGAAAAAGAACAAGGGCATATCCTTCGTATCAGGAAATTCCTAATGAATTGAAGAAGCTGAAGGTTTGCCATCATGTCCTTACCCAAAGGAAGACTGTCCGCTGAAATAACTCTAGCTACATTTTTCCGACTGTTGGAGCTCTGCAACAAGAGCTGGATGCTAGGCTTCTATTTTGCCAAAAAAATTATTTCAGATATGTTCCCGTAGTATGAGCAGGCTGAAGAATGGACACAGAAGAGATAAACACCATCAGGCTCGTTTAGAGTTTTAGGACTCACGAATATTTAGGTTTCTTTTAGAAGAAACAAAGCATAAATTTAATAAGGCTGATGAAAAAGAAATAAACCTTAGTTTTTAAAGTTCTGGGCACTCTTTAAAATCATCTGCCTCATCATTTGGAAGACAAACAGATATTTAATAATATTTAGGCTGCATGGATACGCTTGACGAGGGCTGAGATGATAAATCTGTTATGAATTCATTGACTTCCAGAAAAATCTGGAAATGAATACTTGATTGCTCTCTAATGAAGCATTCAAATAACTCCTCAGGCTCATGACGCTATCATTCAATGCAGAGAGTGTGTACGGAACACTAATAAATTCATAAGGTAAAAATAGCTTCATTAGAGATCTGAGCTCCACAAGCCATATCCTAAAAGAAATTTGTGTATCTTGGAAAAAGTATCAAGTATGCTAAATTTTGGGATACTTAGTCGAAGAATAGTACCAAAGAATTCAAATCCAAATCTAAATCATCTGTTCTGAAAATATGAAGCTTCGAATTGGCTTGCCCTTCATTGATTCCCAAGTAAAGGAAGACTCCAATGTTAATTCAAACTCATAAATTTATTCGGTAAAATTAAGAATTTTCTATTTACCCAATGAACTCTTGCTAAATGATCGTGACAAAGCAGGAGGTTACTCTAACTTAGTTATAAAACAGGGAGAGCACACAATGGTTTGACTTGAGTAGGCTCCAACCTCTCTTTTAATGTTTAACCAAAAATTGCGTATCTCCGATTATAGAGTCCCTACGGGCCAAATAATTGGATCTGATTGGAGACGCATAAATTTGATGTTGATGCTCAATTATTAGCGTTTGGCGCCTATTATATCTACTAAATGTAGCCCATCCATAGCAATTTTAGATTAAGTGACTTTATGTAAAATGTATTTTTAAGTGCGAGGACTGCTTGCCTCTCATTGATAATAAAAGAACTCACAGGCATCAGCATCGCAACTTCATTCATCCCAATAAATATGCTTAAGTCAGGAAATATTAATTTTTAAGAAATAGCTATTTTTAGTGCTAAATTGGCGAAAAAGACTCTTATTTTCAGAGATTTGTTGTAATAGCTACTCATTCTACTACCTGTTAATAAAAACCTGAATGGGTTTAGGTTTACACTCTAGGACTTAAGCAAAAGAAAATTACCCAGAACATAGTGTTTTCCTCTCTAATGTCATTCTCATTGGCATAGCAATAGTCTTGATAATTTTAGCGCGAGCTCGATCACCTTCACTATTTATTAGCTTCTAATAGGCAATCCTGTAAGATATCTTCTACGCCATTTTATGGTAAGCTATAATTTTTGTGAAGCATGAAATCTGATAGCGCTAAGAGATGATTTTGTGGTTTTCCCCCATAAAATTTGATGCTAAAATATGCTAAAAATGACTCGAAATTATCATCTTCCTTCTTTAAGAATTAAATTGGAATTTATGCCTACCCCTTCTGGAGGATACATAAGTTTTAGACCAACAATGGAAGCCCTTTAGATATTATTTTCGCTCAGACTCAGCTACGAATCAGATAGATTAGGAGGCTTAATTTTATGCTGAGATCAACCTCAGAGATAAACTTCGTAATATTTGGAAAGTCATGCTCGATGAAAAGTGGCATGTTGGAATTGTGGCAAAACTCAGCATATCATTATCATGCTTGCAAGTATGCCAAACCTTAGGCTGAGCTTATATAAATACTTAGAGAGACTAGACCTTCAGCCAACACTGAATCAGAGTGTTTCATCTTATCCTACACATTAGTAATGCCACTGATAAATGCCAGATGCTATTTTCAGGAATTTAGAATATTTATTAACCTAAAAAGAGACTCCCAGAATTTTAATAAAGTTGGTGATGATTAACCCTCCCATAGCAGACACGTATTTTTAGAATTTTTTAGAGATGAAGTTATATTTGGTTTATCCCTTGCTCATAGTAGAGATTTGTCTTCGTTCCAATGTCTATCTGTGGGCATCCATGTGCGCCTATATTTTATGTCAAGCAGATTATTAGTAACAGATTTAGGAATAACTGAGAACATAGATAAAGATAATGTAGACTTACCTTGAGGTTGTACTTCTGGGTGTACTTCTTGTGGCAGATTTCGCACTCAAATCTTCTTCTGTCATCTACAGTTTCAAACTCGTGCTGTCTCATGTGTTTCTTCAAGTTGCCTTTCTGTGTGAATGCTTTCTGGCAGTGTTCACACTTGTAGGGTTTAATGCCCTCATGCATTCTGACATGGTCGATCATGTTCCAGACCTTCGTGTAGGCTTTGCGACAATGGCCGTACTTGCAGATGTACAGAGTGGTCTCTCTGTTTGTGACTGGGGTAGTCACAATTTTCTGTTCATACTTGAAGGGCTTCAGCAAGTTTTCGTAGATTTGAGCCTTTGAAATATCAGGATCTTGCTGAGAACAGATTGCCTTGACTTGTTTGTAGTTCTTGTAGTGGACTTCTATGCTGTCGACTTGTTTGGAAGTGTCTTTATTCTGCTCTTCTGAGTCACTTTGAGTTTCAGAAGCCTTAGATTGGCTTGCTACAAAATGTTAACAAGATGTTAACTTAAATCAAAACTGAATTACTTACCTTTTGAGCGTTTGAGTTTATCGCGAACACTAATTAAACTGATAGTCGGAGCTGCTATGATACCAGACTGTTCATGAGGACCCAATATTTCATGACATCAATAATTAGTTGCCACTTGAGCCATCACAAGTGTATTCAGATTGTTTAACAGCATAACTGAGTTGAGGATGATGGAATCCATTTACTTATAATCAATTTTAATGCTATTGCTTCCATTCAATTTATCTCCGCTCTACTGGGGTTTTGGGGTTTTGGGGTTTTGGGGTTTTGGGGTTTTGGGG